AGAAGAGCAATGAAAGGCGTGTCTCGCGGTCGAAGACACAAAAGATTTATGATGCTGCCTCTCGTTCTATTTAACTAGCACCAATAGAACTCCCACTTATGCATATTTACGGTTCATAGCCGTAATTGTACTTCATCTTCCTTTTCTTGAAATTAGATGCAACAATTCTAGTGGAATTCCAATTGTAAGCAATAACTACTGAATCACCGCGCATCAATAAATTTATTATTCCTACTGTTTTCAGTACAGGAAACAATTCATAAACGATGCATGCAAGCATGTAATTTTCCAAATTGTAAAATGTAAATATTTAATTGTTGCTCCTTTAATGTTGCTTCAATCATAAGTATTGAATGTTAAACGATATTCTATTTAGAAAATTTCAAATTGGAAAGATTCGAATATTTTTCTCTTTTGACTGTACCAAAGTTTTTTCCATAAGGAAGGAAGGATTATATCATATAGTTTCTTTGTTAATAGTGCATTTACAAATTTTTCAAGGAATATCCCTTATTTTAGTCAATTTTATTCTAATTTAAATAAAATTAAATAGAATTAAATTAGCTTGTTAACTAAAATTTAGTTGCACCACGTGACGATCGTGTCTTTTAATTTGCTATAATACATCGTGTTAACGTGTAACTCGATAATGCTATTGCTATTACTATAACACGATTGATTTGTAAAGTATAAATTCAAGTAATGTAATATTATGAGATATTCCAAGTATTAATTACATTTTCCACTCGAGATAAATTAAACGCAAGATGGATCGAGAAACATGATTAACCTTGACCCACGTTTACGATTAATAAAGCTTGTAAAAAATTTCGTATACCATACAGATGACGAATCGTAATATTTGTCATTTGTAATCGAGGTTAAATTATGAAAATTATATTGTTCCATATCATTTTGCAATTCTGCTGAGTTTTGCACAATTTCTAGAGAAAATTAATTGAATGAAATCTGTCTGATTCTTTTCTTGTATGTATAAGAAATATTCTGACGAATTTCAATACAATAAAAGACCTAAACTGGATCTAAACTTTCCTTGTTCGACTACAAAATTCTTGATCTCGCATCAATATACAAAAGGAATCATAATGTAATAAATCAGAATTCTTCTTCCTCTTCTATTTTTCTTCATGTCGCATCGACAGCGAGGTCATTAGTGACGACGGTGCCATTAGATATGTGTATAGTAGTTTTTTGAGATATTTTAATACTCTTTGTATTTTGAGAAGTCAGGTTTATGTTTGCGTTGACTCCGTATTTCTATCTTTGGGTTTCTGTGATGTGGCATTCGTGCAGTAAGTGTGTTATTGTTAGTGGATGGTTATTGCAATGAGTGCAGGTGGATGGTGTAATTTTTTTAAATTTTGTTCATGTGTCAGCTTGGTATGACCGGTTCTTAGGCGTATGATAAATAAAGAATTCTTCGTTATAAAATAAAGAATTCTTCTAGTTGTTAAATAAAGAATTCTTCGTTTCTCATTATTAATAGAATTAACGGATGTCACGATTGAATTAAAGAAAAAGAGAGAGAAAGGAAGAGGGAAATGAAGAAAGAAAGCTGAAAACGCGAAACAGACGCCGGTTGACATGTCACGGTGTGAAGTGTTTTCCGGCGGGTTGACCGCAGAATTTTTTCCCCCTTTGCTTTTCGAGCGATTCGAATGCGCCGATATTAAAACTCGTTTCGCGATAGTATCTCGATCGGGCGGCTCGTCGTGTCTACCGGCATGCCAACGCCTTTAAGAGAAATTGCGGTGGTTTTGTCGAAGAGTTGGTCCACGTTAGACACGGAGAATTCTCGTTGCGTTTTCTCTTTTGAAATCTCTCTCACACACGTGAGTGCAGATAAGTACACGTACCTCTAAGCAACAATAATTTTATGCGTCATGTAACTTCGCCTCAGAATTCAATTAACCAACAACATGCCGCAAAAGTAATTCACGATCAAATCACGTCTGGCTCTGTCGACGAGCTCTCGCACGATCGGATCAACGATTGAATCTGCTAAAAGCCTATAATTCCTGACTGGTGGAACGCTAACGAGAAACGGAAGAGCGTTTCTCTTGCCGCAAGAAGACACGAAACGAATTATTGGAATTGCAAGGAGTATTTTGAAATATCGAATTTTCGACTATTTGAATGATTCTAATTTATTGTCGGGTTTCGTGGAATTGCAGACGAAGTATATGAATAGATCTAGCATACGATCTATATCTTTGTCCTGCGATTTTCGGGGTCCTACCATTTTCACATAGATTGTATCCTGTTGTATTGATTCAAACAGGTTTTACATAATCACAGACGAGGTATATGAACAGACCTAGCATACAACGTAATTTTTCGGCCCACGATTGGAGAGTGCATGGGCCTACTTACCATTTTACAATTTGCACGTTCAATTATCATTTAAGCAGAAAATAGTATGCTAAAAGTTATTTATCATTTTATACCAAAATTTAATTTCAATTCGAATCAGTTGAAATATTGTAATCTTGTAATTGACTAACTTACTGTTTTATATATATATTCTATATCTATCTATATATCTGAATATATATAGAAATGTGTGTGTGTGTAAAAGCATATAATAAAATACGTATTTGTGTATATACAATATGTATATATATTTGCATATTTTATTGTATGCTTTTATATATGTATGCACTTTTATTATAACATTTTCTACTTATTTGTTGATTCTTTAATGCGTAGTTGTTAACAGTCCTAATATTTTACAATAATAATTAAGAATGTACGTATTTAATAGTTAAAATGCTATAGTAGTACTTTAATAGTTAAATTACTATGTAATGTAATAAAATTTCTTATATCTTAGTTTAAAGTATTGACAATTTTTCATCAGATGTGCGAATATTGTCATTCTATTTTAAGGATTTCATTTCTCATTTTCAAATTTTGTGTATTTGATTTAGAGAGGGATTTTTTATTTTTTATTTCAAGTTGTCCCGCGCAAAACGCGCGACTGCAGCGCCGCAACGGTGGAATACGGAACGTACTTCCTACGATTCTCGAAATAGTCGATATTTCTCATGATCGATTTTAAAGCGAATGGCGGAAGGAAGCACGCCTCGTCTGTAAAGAACGAAATGTTGTTATCCAGAAGAATTATCCAGGAAAAAGTATCATTCAGAAGTTCTCAGGTAAGAATATATATAAATCGACAGTTGTCAGGTTTGTGTTGTGAAATTTTTAAGATAAAACGTTTTGACTCCAACTCAAGGCAACATTTAACCAAATAACTATTACGTACAATTTTCAACAATTAAAGAAATAATAGCATATAATTAGCATAAACATTTAAACAGAGCATACTATACTAAAAGTTATTTATAATTTTATACCAAAATTTAATCTCAATTCTAGTTGAAATATTATAACCTTGTAATTGACTAACTCATTGTTATATATATTCTATATCTATCTATTTATCTATATATAGTAATATAGTAATAATAATTAGTAATAACTAGTAATACTAAGTGTGTCTAAAACCATACAATAAAATACGTTTGTGTATATATATATAATATGTACATCTATTTACATATTTTATTATATGCTTTTATACACACACCTCTATTATTTTTCTAACATTTTCTATTTTAACTTCATAGTTATTAATATCGTAGTTGTTAACAATTCTAATATTTTACAACAAAAATTTGTTAAGAATGCATGTGTTTAATAGTTAAAATAATAATTTCACTGTGTAATATAATAAAATTTTTCATTTCTAGCAGACAAGTTATTTGGAATACAAGGCCTTGACGCTCGGCAACCGAAGTTCAAAACATAAACACAACGTTTACGTTTTTGTGCAAGGCTGTTATTGTTAATCGTCGAGCCTGTTCGAACAGGATTACTTCATCCCCTACTACTTTTTCAACTGGAAGGACGAAACGTGTTGCGGAGAGTCATTCGGTCGTCGAATTTCGTGACAACAACACATATTACGTCGCGTTAGGTTTGTAATTTCTAACCCATCGGTGGCGTCTATTCGACGGCGTCGCTTCTTCGACACTCTTTTACTTCCATTTACACTTCATTAATGATATTGTTTAATTAATACGTGTATGTTTAACGATTCATTGAGCACTACGATAACGAAATCGTGTAGAGATTCGAAACTTTTTGCTCCAATTTTTCTTTAATCGCCCATTTCACTTGTGCGGTTGCCGTGAGATCATCTCGTACGTCTTTTTAATAGAATTTGAAGTTGATTATCGTTTCATTCTGACATGTTTATCTTCATTTAATATATTTGTTCTAACTTTTGGTTTCAGGCTGGTCTCGATTGTAAAGATAGCATAGAACACATAAATGCCACGATCATTAATGGACAATTTGATGAACTTTCACGGACATTTGGCAACATTCTATTCATTTTGGGTAACATTTGGTCTGTACAATTCCGTAATCCCGTAATTATTTGGAATACAAAGATGAAAATAGAGAAGATTAAATCGATTAATATTTTATTTGGATATATAGCAGCTGAACGGTATACATACACTATCAAATGGATGTATATTGTTGTATTAGATTATCAAATTCTGTACTATATGTACTTTATTATACTGTACGAACTCTGACGCGCGATTGAAACAATTCAAAGCAAGATTTTACACGCGTCTTTCGTGATATGATTTCCTAAGTACATTTAGCTGTGAAATTTTGTTTTGCGCAAACATTTTCGAACATTTATAACACGTGATGTGATATATTGCTAATGTGCACACTTCCGATTCTAATAACGAACATTCAGAATACAATAATCGTCTTTCATTTACAGTATTCAGTACTGAGAAATACTTTCTAATTTACAATTAATATCTTTAATACATATTCAAGTTTCTTTATAATCATGTAGAAAAACAGCAGTATTTTCTAAATAAACGTGTCCCCTCCCCCCTCCCCCACTAATCAGCTTTATTTTCAGAAAGTTTTTGCGACCACGCGCAATGTGGTCGGTAGAGTCAGTGTTTGTTACGAAGTGTTTTCATATCTTTCTGAGCAAAATGGCTCTTGTTAAATGAAATAATTCGTTTAAATTATAATTCGCAAAATTAGAGTCAGTGAGTCCGCCGATTGTTACTTAAACGCGCGCGTCGATAGTCTTTTATTTTAATTTTTTTATACTTTCTCTTGTTCAATACTCGTTTTCTGTATTAGAGTCAGTGCTCAAGAGGATAAGGCCTCTCCAGGAGATCAAGATCGTAAGTAATTTTATAGCATTGTGCCTAAATTTATTCAATTTTTCAAATTTAACAACAAACTATAATGTTTAATGTTTTGTTACAGATCTTCTACAGTCTCCACTTCCCGTAATCCTCCAAGAATCGTACGATGCTTCAAAAGCTAAAAATGTAAATATTTTTACTACGTTGCATTTAAATTTTATTCTCTATAGTTTTCTTTCATGTTGATTGTAAAATTACAATTATAAAATGAAAATATTTCAAATTATTAGTCCCAATGTTTATCACTATTAAAATTTAAATTTTCACAAATAACACTGTGTCTTTAGAAATAAATTGTTTGATGTTTGTTTAAGAAATTTTTCACGGCGTTCGCTTCCACCATGAGATTCTCAGTGGTATCTACTTGATGAGGATCTTCACGATAACGTTTTCTGCTCCAGTGCAGCACCGATGATAACGTTCTTCACATCAATCGCGTGAGTCGCATGCATTTATGTTCCTCCGGTCACTCAATCATGTCGTAGGACGAAAGGTCCGAATCGATACGGGTGACTGGTTGTATATACGTAGAATTTTTCACGAGCATAGTGACCGCGGGTATTTTTTATACCGTGAGTAGTAACATTTTTTTCAGGCTTTTTTATATATTAGATCAGGATAGGGCTTCTTGCACATCGCGATTTTAACAACTAAAATATACATTTATAGTAATTACTTATAAAATCAACATATATTCAGTATAAATGTTTGCAAAAGTAAAATATCCACATGAATAAGTAACTTATAAATATTTATAAATAATTATTAAAACGATTTCGTTTGAACATTTCATAGTAGAGAAGACGGATACCCTCCGACTTGGTTGCTATGAAAGTTATTATTTATTGATACTGGTGATATATTTTGCTATAATAATTAATAATTAATAATTAATAATTTCCAATTTCATTTTCCTTTCTATAGTAGTATTAAACGATTTAATTAATTTGAGTTTTATAATTATGAACTTCGAAATAGAATTTGAAATATGACAGATTAGAATTTTTTCCGTAGAAGAATGTATGTAAATTTAATGTGCAAGAAGATTCTTCGCGACAGGCAGATTTTTGAATCAAAGCAACAAGTTTGGACATTGCTTTTTTGCATTTTCGAAAATATGCTTTGACGACGAAGTCGCCTGAGATTATTTCTATCAATATTTAATTTAAAGTCAGTTGTTTGATTTTGATTGTTTGAAACAATTGTTAGATTGTTCATAGCATCTTTTTGAATAAATTGAAGTCTTGTGTATTGTCATTATTTTTTTGCAATTTCAATAACTTCTGAGAGAATAAAGTCACACTAAAGTTGAAATAAAATAATGCAATAGTCCGTTCAGATACAAATTGTATAAACTAATCATTTTTTTTTTTAGTTCAGGATTTTCAGGTTTAACCCTTTCTGTGTTCACTGTCAAGATCTTACTCACGTGCCCAGGTGCTACTTGGGTAGGTGAAAGACATTGGGCACGATGACTATAGTTTGTAATTTTATAAAAAATTTCTCAGCGACTGACAATGTGTTAGCGTATCGTGCACGACGTATTTTCCGCATGTGTGTGTGTCTGGTTAGGATGTGGAATTGCGTCGTTTTTTATTGTTCCATCCACTACAAGTCGAAATATTTAAAATATTTATCCACTATATAAAATATGAATATTTATAACAATACCTATTAAATACATTATAATTATATTATTAATTATAATAATGATTCCAAGTCAATTATAAATCAATTATAACAATGACTCTAAGTCAGCTTGCACAGGTAGTTTCTACAGAAATTATATATACTTTCTCTCGGTTATTAATATCTCACATATAGCCATAAATATAAACGTGTTTTAATCACGTTTCACGCAATGGTCGCTAGCCATTGTCAGTCGATTTCAGGAAAAATGGTACGTAAATTAGAGTGTGAAAGTTGTGTGCTAAGCTCGGGTGTCGGAGGTGTCCCGGGACGTCCTCTCTAGTTTAGGTCTGCGCCCGAGTGGTATGTGTGAGAACCGTGGAGCGAGTGTGTTGGTGTGCCTGTTTTGCCATTTTTTTAAATATAGGGCGACTAGTTAGGATAGGTAGCATACTTTCTGGTGCGAATGTGTTTAATTGTAAGTAGGTAGGGCCGGGCAGGTTGGCACAGTCTCTGGTCGCGTGTCCCCTTTTCGCGTGTCCAACCTGTTTCAGGAAATCCAATTTGAAAAATCGACAGTGAAATTGGTACAAATTGAGCATGCCATTGTTTCTGGTTTTACTCTTCGATTTTTCGAATTTAGTATCGCGGTCGCGGTCGTGGATAGGTCGCGAGTAGGTCCCGAAACGAACGTTTATGCAGGTATTGCTCGAGCACGCACATGCGAACGGGCAACGATCACTATGATCGATGGTCGTCCATGTGTATTGGAGTCAGCGATTTATATTATCATTTCACCTTTGTAAGTTATTTTTTAGTTTGCGATTAGAAAGACTCGAGCTAGACGTAAGTTTCAGCGGGCATTGCGCTCGAAGAAAGAAGAGGCCCGGCAAACTGCCACGAAGAGGGTCGCAACAAATGGCTTCTCAACCTCTGGATCATTCAAATGATTCCAGAGCATGGGAAGTCATTCTCGTTACTACTTTGTCACTATGCTCTTTTAGTATTTGTAGTTGTATTTCTTTTTTTTTCTTCTCCATCATCGTTCATCATCGTTTTGGGCAAATCGCGGTTTTTCTTGTTAGTGTTGCGAGAGATCGATTACGGATTGAATTAGAGTTGCGAAAAAAATGATGATCGTGTTTACTTTGAAAGTGCGAATTATGATACCGCGATTGTGAATTTTTAAAGTTGTCATAGAGTTATACGTAGTAAAATTTATTTTACTTCCTATCGTTTTGAATTAAGTTATAGAGTCATTGTTTTTAATTAATTTTAAAGTACTAGCATATTTGAAGTAGCTTTTTGTCTATACAGTGTCTTTTGTATCGTCCATAATAATTTTCATTCAGTTCTGAGTTTTTATTAGTGTTGCGACTTTATTTCATCGCGATTTCCAATTACTTTTTCTCTTGTTAGTGTTGCGATAATCGCGTTTCTTGAAGTAGCATTGCGTTTACAAAATGCCCAAATTCTTCCTGGATCACCTGATGCAGCTACAAGAGCTGTACAGTGGTCAGCAACCTTCGGCATGGTTGCACTGGACGCGTCGCAATTAGTGTCGCGTATTTCTGAAGACGAGTGCATAGATTAATAACGTTGCGTACTTGATTTCGGGAGTTTAAAAAAAATATGACGAAGCATTCTTCGTGTTTGATTTTAAAAATTTTCTGTTTCATAATTAGTACTAGTGAGTTAGTGTTGCGAAACAAGATACGATTTGTTGCTTGGATTCATGTCGAATGTAAATTTAACAATAGTCCTTTTGGTTATTGTATTGAGAAAGATATGTTCTTTCAGTAATTTCTAGCTACTGTATCGCGATTTCTTTTTCAATGGCCCTTCTGGCTATTGTTCTAAATTTTCTTTGTCAGTAGCCCTTCTGAGGTTACAGAGTTAGGTTTTCTTTTTCAGCATCCCCTACCACTACGTTTATTACTGAAAATACTGCTAAAAAATATATATATTTTTATTGCAACAATTAAATATTTAGATATCACAAGGAAAATTTGAAACTCTTTTTTTACAAAATAATTAAATCGACAATACTTTGTAGAATATTAGCTTATTTTGAAATATGAGATAGTATCCAATTTATTGTTGTTGGTGTCCGTAATAATGATTGTTCGTTCTCAGAGTTATTTTCTAAATATTTCAACAATAAAATAGAATTTCTTAAATTTTCGAATTTCGTACGCGTAAATTAAAGTTTATTCGCAATCGTCGTTTATTTGTAACGAAAATCTTGCAATGAAGATTTTGCTTTGAATCGATCGAAGAAGATGGCTTCGTGTAATACAACAGATTGTGAAATCGTCGGAAGAATTTTCAAAGCCTCGATTGATCGTTCGAAAGTGAAAGATTTTTATGTGAAAGAAAATTTATACTTCCTCTCGCATCGTGATATTTTATCTTTGTAATTCCACTGTGATTAAAAAAGAAACATATGTATTATTATATTTCTACTAACGTCTGACTGAAAATTTAAATCAGACTTCTGCTTAAAATTTTGCCCATCTAGAAGTAAATTTTCACATTAAGTTTTTCTTTCGGTGGAAAAAATTATTTTAATGTACCTACCTATTTATCTAAAATACTATATCTAAAATAATTATTATTTCATTTACAGTGAAGAGCGTAACTGCACCAACGATAGTGAAATATTGCCGATAATTGAAATTGATTTAATTTTGTAAGATCACACAACGATTTGGTCTCATTTTAAAGCGTAGTCTTTACATTTTAGAAAAAATTTCTTAACGTTTGAGTTCTTACAATTTTCGAGAACTTTCTTACCTTCATGCTACATGATGTAAAGCCATCTCAAGGAAACGAACTCACGATGGTTAAAGTAAGAACTTCGAATGGATTGTTATATTTATGATCATCTTTTGCAAAGTTACATCAATTTAAATTGTCGACAGTTTTTCATTATTTTTCATACAGTTTTTACTATATTTTTTAATTTTTCTTTCATAAACTCAAACCATCCAGTCATCAATGTCTGATTATTCTTTTGCTTACATTATTCTTTCGAAATTTCGTCCGAGAAATGGAACAAAAGTGAGAGAAAAAAGTAACAGAAGACGAAAAAGAAAAATGGCCGGAAGAAATATTGTCGCTGATGGATGGCAGTGGGACGAGATGAGATTTCGGTCCAGGAGAAACTTTGGCAGGCTGCCAAAGATGAAAATGGAAGCATATCTGGTCTTTCTGTGGCCGAACTGCCGGGTCGACGAACCCAGCCACCCATCTCTCTAGTTTCTACACCTCTTTCTCTCTCCCTTTCTCTCGTTTCTCGTTTCGGGAAGGGCCAGCCCTCTTCTCTCTCTCTCTCTCTCTCTCTCTCTCTCTCTCTTTCTTTCTCTCCCGTGGATTTTGTCCGCGAGCTCGTATTTAGATTTAGAAGCAACCCCGGCCATTCCGGAAATCCGTCGTCGCTTACCCGTTGCCCACTGTTCTCTCTCCGCGAACGCGCCGCCTCGGTAATTTATTCACTTGGCGGATGATCGGTGTTTTGCCGGTGAACGACATTGTTCCAGCTGTTTGACAAGCGTGAAAATTGTATTTTGACAGCTTCGAATTCTAGGGAAACAAGTGACAGATGGAGATTTCGAATCAGAGCTCAGATTGATAAAAAAAAACTCCTGTGAATTCTAAAACAATTCTTTTCCTGGCATTTCGATTTTCAACCAATCGTTGGAAGACAATAGGAAGTTAAAATTTTTTTTTAACAAACTCCTTTCATAAATCGTGCCATCCCTTTGTCGTAAATCTATCGTACCATTTAATCACTTGCGCTGGCAACTGGCTGCGGACCATAACGAGCGACCGAACCGTATACAATAATTCGTCGC